GTCAGACCAGTCTGCCGCGCTGTTTTGACCCCCTGATGTGTATTTCGACGGTTTTAACGGTTTTCTCGAGATCTTTTCAGTTCTAGGGGTTTCTAACTGACCTGATATCATCCCCAAACGTGGTTAGGCTGTTGTTAACTGAAGATAGAGCCAAATCACTTGTTCTCATCTAAATAACCGCTTCTGAAGCTTATAAATACGAGCTCGGGTGCTCATTTCTGGGGGGCGATTGATTATCAAGACGAGGAGGTGCTGCCGGATTGTGGAGTCAAAGGAGCACGAATTTCAGCGAGGGTTGACAGATCTTGGCGAGTTCTTCGGCATAAAGAAGGAGAGTTCGAAAGATCCGACGCCCGTTCCCGTCCGTCCCTTGAGATTAGGCTTGGTCTTAATCTCGAGAAGAGCCCTGATTTCGCTTGGTCGATTTCAGCGCTTCAAATCAAATACTTCCTCGGCGAAGACGAAACTCTGCCGAATTTTTCATCAACCGGATCCAGATCTAAGGCGGTCCACGGATAAACCCCGACACAGGCAAAGATCCCACGCAAGCAGAAGACCGATAAACGATCTCTGCGTTTGTTTGACGAGAATTGTATTTTTTTCATTTTCATTGTGTAAGAGTCTTATAAAAAGACCATCTTTTTGTTTTCATTGTAACGACCGAAGTTGTAATGAATACCGCAATGAATACATCAATTTTCGATGCAAACAGCAGCGAGGGGGAGATCGACATTCATCCTTCAGCAACGTTCGATAACAGAGAGCTTTCATCCTTGGCTATATACCGATTTCGGTTAAATCAACTATGTTATAAAGTTTCAAACTCGTTCAGAGTTATCAACTCGTCCAGAGTTCTAAAACTTACTTTGCAAGTTCTCCACAACGTCAAATCGTGAGGAGAAGACCACGTTCCAGTAAAACAAGACGTTCAGATCGTCAACGGAGAGCAAACTCGACGCGAGCATTCGAGGGAGGTACTCCATCGCCACCGTGAAGAACCCAGTCCTAAACAAAGGGGAGAATTCAGATCAATTCTCCTCTTTTTTGTAATCAGGAAATTCAATTGTAATCGAGATCGAGAGAATACAAATCAAATTTCTTTCATTATTTTTCTTATTATAAATTTTCCACCAAATAGTTGTAGAGGTCTCTTTGGCCCTGGCCGACGCCTTGTAGGCACGGGCATCCTCCATATCCATTTACCCGTGTGCCTTGGCCATCAACTGCTCATAGTTAGCGACTGACTTCTTGTCAAGTGAGTCGGGCAACTCATTACTCTGCAGGCGGTAACGAGTGCGGACATGACGACTGCACTCCCTGGGCCATTGACCTCCAACCTCTTCGCCTGGAATCTTTTGAAGTAGGCTCGGAGACTTTCGCTTGGACACTGCCTCATTTGAATCAACACATGAGGGGGCAACTTCTGCTTGGTGTCAGTCAGGAAGTGGTGGATAAACTTCCGACTGAGTTGTTAGAAACTGCTGATGGACTTCTTCTCAAGAGCATTCCACCAGAGTTTGGCACTCCCTAAAAGAGTGATAGGGAAGCATCGACAGACAACTGCTTTCGATGCTTGGAGCATGCTCATCACATTGTAGTAATTCTGAACATGCTTGGAGGGGTCTCCCTCGCCTTTGTACTTCTTCACGTGAGGCATCTTGAATTTCCCACATGGGGTATTCATAAGGTCGTCTGAGAGAGGGGTGTTTCCCCCGATGACGTCTGCGACCGATCTATACACTTAATCGTATCTAAAGGCCCCTACGGAGCAGAGGGGGCGGGAGAGGCACAATGATGGAGGAGAGTCTAAGAGACCACTCCCCTAGTGCAGTCCCCAAACTGACCTGGGCCTGGACTCTCACCAAAGGTCTCCTGATGACGATGGTGATGTCGGCGAGATTCGTCAGCGCGAGCCGATCAACGCAATGGTTGTCGTCTGGGTTGTCGTCCCTACGAGTCTCTGGCCGCCAAGTTGATTGGGGCATAGCATGTAGAAGTACACTTGTTCGTTGCTTGGCACTGAGTTACAGTCGGACGAATGGGAACACCATAACATTAGTATATAGAGAAATGTGTGCCATCTCAACACTCAATATCATGTGCTTTGACGGCTAAAGTGTTTTCTATGATATTACCTTAGTTTTCAACATTCTTGCTTGCTTTAGTTCGTCTGTTCTTTTGGTGCTCTTCGGTGGTACTTATCCACATTTGCTATTAAGGGTAAGCGCTGTATACAACTTTTGTAGAGGTTATCTATTATATACTATTACTACTTCGGCTTTTTTTTTTACTTGCTTAGGAGAGAGAAGGTTCATGTCCCCCATATCCTTCAAGCTGCAGTTACGTAAAGAAACAGTGAAAAGGGCCGATATCTTATTCTTTTTCTTTTTTCCTTATTCTTTTTCTTCATCATCAAGCTATAATACAGTTGACTTTCTATTTCATATTTCTCCTACTTGTTCATACATCAATCTTGATGGAACGTTGCTCTATGGGCTTGTCGATGGATGTTTGGCCTGCCATTCCTTTTGTACCCAGTAAATTTCATAGGTAACATGAACTTTTGGGACGTTATAATACAAAATTACCATGAACTATTTTATCGGAGAGAATCATCATGAACCTTTCCTTTTAAAATAATGATAAGGACACACCCTCTATCATACTCCTAATCACACCACCTCTCTTGCTATAATATACGGGGCCCACATAAGATTTTAAAATTAAAATATCATATGGGCCTCGTGTACTGTAGCAAGAGAGGTGGTGTGGTTGGGAGTGTGGTAGAGGGTGTGCCCTTAGTGTCTCTTTTCTTTTATTAGAGCGGAACCACAACCTCAACCACACCCCCTCTCTCATTTGCTACAGTATACCGGGTCTCACATGAGATTTTAAAATTTTAAAATCTCATGTGGGACAAATTTAAAATCTCATGTGGGACCCGGTGTACTGTAGCAAATGAGAGAGGGGGTGTGGTTAAGGTTGTGGTTTGGGGTGTGCCCCTATTATTTTCCTATTAGAGCAGCATGCCTTTGATGTGACATGTTTTAAACAATTTTGGCATTGTGTACTAAATGTACCATGATAGTTTTGTAGGACAAATTTTCAAAACCAACCTATTTGTACTTTTATTCCCAAAAAAAGACCCGTTTTACATTTATTTAGAGAAACCGACCTGGTTTCAGCCTCAGCGCTGAAACCAGGTCGGTTTTTGAAAAAAACTCTCCGAAACTTCACGGGAGTTGAACTCCCGTGAAGTTTTTTGAACTACGAAACTTCACGGGAGTTCAACTCCCGTGAAGTTTCGGAGAGTTTTTTTCAAAAACCGACCTGGTTTCAGCGCTGGAGGCTGAAACCAGGTCGGTTTCTCTAAATAAATGTGAAACGGGTCTGGCTACAGGCGGTTGGCATAACTCTCCTCTGTATGTCACTGCTCATGTACTACTACTCTCTTTTAATTCGAATTAATTAGGCATCGCTCTCCACATCCTTCAATCTGAAAATGAAGTGAGAGGAAAGATAACTGCATTAATTCTCCTAATTAATCAGTGATTGGGATGAGATGTGCCTAAATCTTGCTCAGGGTAGGGCTTAGCGCCTGTTTGTTTCAGCAGAATTCATAAATTCATAGAAAGACGAACCGTAAGTTGGGAATTCTTCCAGACTCAAAATCCTCAACCAAAAAACACGAGGGAGTTTAGGAGAGAAAAAGAACACCGGGTCGTGTATTCAACTCCCCGTTCAATCAAACAAATAAATTAAAAACAAGCCTGAAGTCCTTTTTTCGTCATTTAAAAACCGATTTTATCCGCGAAATGGTTGTAAACACATCCAATCAAACTCGGCCGCGTCAAAATTTTGAAATTTATGTATCCTCCATACTTGATAGAATAAAAAGTTTTTTAGTCATGCTGAGAACGATACATGCTGCTTTCAGTTACGGAATTGCTTGTGGTTTTGCTTATATAATTCTTTAGGGGTTCGTAAAAACCACACGCAACCTGAGAAATGCTCCAGTCCCAAATTCTCCCATTTGCTTACGTGGAGCTCTTGCCTTGATGATACTCTGACTTGAAAGAGATGCCAAAAGCATAAACGCGTTGCAGTCGTGCAAGAGCAAACAAGATTCAACGAGTGGGAGGAGAAAAAGGCTAAATGAAGAAGGCTGATGCCTCCAAGATTCTTGTGTCGACAGCAAATACACCGGTGTCATTTTCCTCTCACCTCGTTATCCTCTCAAAATTTTGAAGTTATATCTTGAACCAATCTGACTTCTTTCAGATTTTTTTTTTTAAAAAACGGAAAAAGAATTAAAAATTGAGGTGTTAGATATATGGATTTCAGAGACGTGACTAATAATGTTTGACGTTTATTGAGAGAGAGAGAGAGAGAGAGAGAGAGAGAGAGGGAGGGAGAGGTTTCTTGCACTATAGATAGAGATATCGAATTTTCAAAGCGAAATAAAAATAATTCTACAAGGCTAAGACAAAAAATGGATTAAAATCCATACCACATTTCATAATTTAAAAATTTTCATGAATTTTACTATATGATGCATAAACGGAGTATCCAGGCAGAAGCATGTGGTTATTTTTCAGTCAAATAAAAAAGGAAAAAAAACCTTTTGGGCAATAGCAGCCGTCCAAGTTGATGTGGCTTCTAACATCTAGAAATCTAGAATTCATTTGGTCCATGTTTATTCAAAAAAATTAAGGCCACCCCCCCCCCCCCCCCCGCCCCCCCCCCCCCCCCCCCCCCCCCCCCCCCCCCCCCCGACCCCCCCCCCCCCCCCCCCCCCCCCCCCCCCCCCCAATTATAGCCGTTGCCATCAAATGTTCATCAACATGCCCCTAGGTGCCGTAATTGCTGGTAACGTTTATCTCGTGCTGACGTGGCATAGTAGGCCACGTGTCAATACGCTGGCTGAGCACGGCTCTTTTCTGTTCTCAGCCCAACAGTTGCAGTGTGCTTCCCTATAATAAGACGACAACTCTTGCTTCGATTCGATCTGACGAAATTTTTTTAACTTAATATTTTGTTACAATTGAAATTCAACCGCTAGCAAAAAAGCAAGCATGTTGATGAAGAATGCTGTTGATAGCTTTAGTTTAATGAACACATTTCTCAAGTCTGTGAGCAGTTTCAGAGGGCTGAACTCGAGGGTGAATCTCAATATTTTAAGCTTTAAGCTCAGTTAATTTTTATTTATATTAGAATATTAAATTATTTTGTAGAAAATAGAGTGATGGGTTTGTGCCTTGATTTTGTTGCAGGTTGGGAGATTCTCTTATTTTGCATCATACTCTGCTTCTTCACTGCAACCTGCACTTGATTCAGATAGGTGAGATGTTTTTGGCCTGAAATTGATTCATGGGCGTTCATTTAAATTTGGATTTTTTTTTTTTTTGGTATTTGCTCGTAAGATACCTATAAACTTCATTATTCGTAAAAATTACTAGGAATTTTTATTACGTATCCATTTCTATTCAACAACAAGCATGCAACTAAATTGGCTTCTTTTTCCATATTTCTTACCTTCTTCCAAATCTATAGCAGAGGCTGCTGTAAATTGTAACTTTAATGATATATAGTTTTCTGATAAAAATTCATGATTATTCCTTACGATTCACCATTCAACATTTTGATCCAAGAGAGGTACTTTTTATCTTGGATGGATAACTCAATAACTTTAAAATACAAGGAAATATTCCGAGGGGAAAAAAAAGCTGCATGAACTGTAAACAATGTAGATTTGTCAGAGGGTAAGGAATTATGCTTTCACAAATATTTGCCCATAGCCAAATATATCTTTTTAAAGGAGACTGAATAAAGTTAAGTGCTTTACACTCGCTACAAATATAATGCTAATACTAAATTTCATTTTAACACTATCTTTTGTAAATTTCTAATTTTGACCAAGTATAAAACTAATTTTGTTAGGTAGTTGCAAACTCTAGCCTACGTGTAAGGGTAAATATCTGGTAACCGTAAATGAAGCAAAAACAGAGAGGCACCATCTCTGTCATTCTCAATACTTATCCAAACACAACTCCTTTTGGCTCCAAAATGAAATAAAATCTGCATCGGTAGATTTTTTCCCCTCTATTGTTTTACAATTTCGTAATGGCAGTTCACAGCTCAAAAATTCAATCAGTCTTCTGAGGTCACATTGAACAGTCATCAATTGAATTTGGAGACTCTACCCTCGAGATTTTAGGGCTTTAGAACATCGTCATCATGTGTGATTCTTCTGCAAACCGGTAGTATTTATTTTAGTTTTCTATTTCTTTTGCACTATACACTATATATTCCATCTAGAAAATTATATATTGAGATGATTTCAAAATGCACAAGACACTGTATATTCCTCTACATTTGAATCTCATCTTGGTATTGCACATGGCAAGATTTGATCCATCTTGTGCTTAGTTTCCTCAAAGGCAGTAGAATATTCGTCAAAGCAAGTGACATTATAACACAATAGTAAATCTTACTTAGGATGAACAAAGAATTCGGGAGTTTTAATCACATTTGCATCAAGATACAGCTTACTCTCCACACACACACACACACGCACGCACAAAGCGCAAAAGAAGAAAGAAATTATAGGGACATAAATCACAACTATTAAACTTAACTAGTGATAAAGGAAATAGTTGAAATATGATGGTGATGATTGCTAATACCAATAGGAAATTGTTTAAGATTGAGGCTGGATTTATTCTATTGTTTGTGATTTCACCCTTTTCTTATTTGACATTTAGATATCTTCCTTGAACATTCATTTCTTGTTGTCTTAAGCATCAAAGAGATCGACTGAATTTGTGAAAAATTAGCAGGAGTGATGATGAAAGTTCTGACATTGATTGGGACAAGCTCGGATTTGGTGTAGTTCGGACTGACTACATGTATGTCATGAAATGCTCTTTGGGTGATACGTTTTCATGTGGAGAACTCAATCGTTACAGCAACATCGAGTTGAACCCAGCATCTGGAGTCTTAAACTATGGACAGGTTAGTGTTTACCATGCATAAAATCAATGAATTGATACCTAAATAGTCGCACACCTCACAATAATTTCTTTCAAAATTAGGGTATATTTGAAGGCTTAAAAGCATACAGAAAACGAGATGATCGTGGCTTCTTGCTCTTTCGACCTGAGGAAAATGCACTTAGAATGCAGATGGGTGCTGAGAGAATGTGCATGCCATCTCCTACCATCGACCAATTTGTGCATGCGGTGAAGCAAATAGTGCTGGCAAATAAGCGTTGGGTTTGTGTTCAGAACTCCTGAATGTTTTTGTTGTGTTTCATGGCGAAGATCTAGTTATGAATGTTGCATAATTTTACTTTGCGGTTTTTTGAACAGGTTCCACCCCAAGAGAGGGGATCTTTATACATTAGGCCCTTGCTCATAGGAAGTGGGCCTGTACTTGGTTTGGCGCCGGCACCAGAGTACACATTTCTAGTTTATGCTGCACCAGTTGGAACTTACTTCAAGGCAAGAATTCTTAAATCATAAGCGTAGATTGAAGAATTTAAACTGTAATATTGCATAATTCTTATATTATTTTATTGAACAACATTATGCTTAATCCTTTGCGCAGGAGGGTTTAGCCCCGATAAACTTACTTGTTCAAGATGAAATTCATCGCGCCACTCCTGGAGGAACTGGTAGCGTGAAAACCATCACCAATTATGCGCCAGTGAGTAATCTTGATTTTACTTATTCTAGTTTTTGGGATTAGTACAATAAATTCAAGCACAGGAAATACATTACAAGAATAAAATCAAGGGTTGATTGCAAATAGACCCCTATTGCAATCCCCAAATTGAACTTACTACCCTTGTAGATGCAGAAAGACCGCCCTGAGTGAAACTTTTTTGACCCTTTCAGGGGTTCTATCTGCAACAATAGATTTTCAGTCAGGGGCTCACAATAGAACTCTTTCAGAAGGTCTATCAACAACAATAGAACTACAGGGGTTCTAAGTTTAATTAGGCCGTTGTACAGGGGTCTAACCGCAGTTAAGCCGAGCCAAATTTTACAACGCTGCGACTCCTTAATGTGCATATCTTTCTGGTGGTGTAGGTTTTAAAGGCACAGATGATAGCTAAGAGTAAAGGATTTACAGACGTGCTATATCTTGATTCCGTGAAGAAAAAGTATTTGGAGGAAGCCTCTTCTTGCAATATATTTATTGTGAAGGTATGATTTGTTGAATATAAGATGTATAATTGACCTAGGTTATAATTGATGTGTTTGAGGGGGGAACATTGCAACATTGGCTTTGTTATCTCTTATTTGATACAATACTTGGTTCCTCATAACCTCTGCCAAAATCGATTCACTTTGAGAGGCATTTCTTTAAGGACATTGGGAGAAAAATCTTGATAGTTTTGTATTTTTTTGTACTACAGGATAGTGTGATATCAACTCCAATCACACAGGGGACTGTTCTTTCTGGCATAACACGAAGAAGCATCATTGAAATTGCACGCGACTACGGCTATCAGGTCAGTATGGTTAAATGAAAGTATGTTATAGAACATGTTTACTTGATTAATTACTTTATTCATGCTTTTTATTATTCATTTCATCATCCACATCTTCAAGAGAATTTTAGACTAGTTGATTTTTGTTGTTTTCTAGGTTGACGAAAGACTAGTCTCTATTGAGGATCTAATGGATGCAGATGAAGTGTTTTGTACCGGGACTGCTGTAGTTGTTTCTCCTGTCGGCAGCATTACTTATCACGGGCAAAGGTAAATTTTCTTATTGTGTGTGGGGAGAGAAAATAACTTACGATAAAAAAATATGCTGTCCAAGCTTTGATTCTTAGCGTCTACATTCTCAGACTCTATTTTATGTCCAAGAACCTTTTCGTTGTAAGGGTACATTTGCTAGTTATAGTTCATTTGTACATTCCACTGGTAGTACAAAAATATCCGTTTTTTGTCTCCGAGATTTTAGTCCTCGACTTCAATATATTAGTAACTGTCTTGTACATTTATTCTTCTGCACAATTGAACTGGGTAACGTGCACACAATCTTTCTATCATGAAAAACTCGTACTTAGTTTCTAAGCATAGATTTATCTTATCATATCCACTATCAACTAAAGCCTAGAAGCTTACAAATATGTAACACATAAGCATGATCGACTACAGAGAATAAGAGAAAGAGTGGCGGATTTCTTTGAGTGGGCTCCGGAGTCGATCCATCAACCGCTGATATCCGTCACACAACATTGCATTCCGTCATACCGACGAATTCTCTTTTGCTAGTACTTCTTTGTTTTGGATGCTTATAGCCTCCATTATTCTCCTGTTTTTCACCTTGTGGGCAATTGGGCTTGAAATGCCCAAACTTTTCACAATTATAGCAGGCTCCGCGAGGTACTTTCTTTCTCGTGAATTGTTGTGATTTCAGTCCTTACGGTTGTGGTTTATCAGGACCAGGGTTTTTATACCTTCCAGCATTATGCCTCTTGCGGACATAATTCAGTTCTTGCTGCACCATATTCAGTTCTGGTTCTTTCCTACTGGCTATTAAGTCATGTTCTATCGCTAGGTGCATAGGAAGATCAGTGACGGATTTAACAGCATGGTTCATTCTTAATGTGGTGGCAGCCACAACAATGGAAGGAGGAAGACTATTCAAAATAATTGCCACTTGCATTCTTTTCAGGATTTCGATCCCAGTCGTGGATAAGTTCTTAGCCATGACAATTGTCTTATTTATATGCTCTATGACATTGTCTCCCTCTTGCATACGATAATAATTATACTTATGCAAGAGGAGTTGAATGTTAACTTCACAGGCGGTGTCGTATTTCTCTTTTATAGCATTGCACATGTCCATGAAAGTCTTATAAGTTTTAAAAATTTTGATTAAGTTATCTTCCATGAACATGAGCATAAGGCTTTTTGCCTCTTTGTGTTTCGACTTCTACTGTTCAAATTTTTTTTTTCAGGTGTTGATTTATTAGTAATGATTGGAGCAGTGAGTTTAATTACATCATCAATATTATCATGAATAAGAACATATCCTATTTTTCTATGCCACATATCATAATTACTGTCATTAAACTTGTCAATTTTTCCTAGTTCTGATAGAACAAGTTTACTAGCCATTCGGTAAAGAACTAAAACTAAATCCAATTTAAAAAAAAATGTATAAGGTTGGTATATTGGCAATTATACTAAAATAGAATAAAGTTAGATAAATAAATAAATAAATAAACGTGACTATTCCGAGTTGATGAAAGAGACTCAAATTTGAGCGAGATTGTCACTCAGCGGTGTTGATTAGATCAGCACTTGTCGAAGTTGGTTCTGTCTGAATTGTGGAGATGATCTGCTATGTGAAACCAGCTTTGCGCGGTGCCCTCCACTTGGATAGGTGAAATAGGCCCTCCACTTTGATAGGTGAAATAGGCCTTCGCTCGGCCCACAAAATATTAATTTATTTAAGTGTGAAAACAGCATACACTATTGGTTAAGCAAGCCCAAATACAAAGGCCCAATAGGCTAGTAAGAGATAAGTTGGATCTAGGCTATGAAAACAACCAGGCTATGAAACAATAGGGTGGATGTAGAGTACTGAACAACCAGGTCTAATAGGCTATGAATATAGGTAGAGGTAGCTAGCTATGAACAAGCTAAGCTGGAGAACAGAGAGTAGGCTAGCTGGATTAAGAGTAGGCTATGAACAAAGAGTAGGCTAGGCTTTGTAGATGTAGGCCTGCGGCTAGCTATGAACAAAGAGTAGGCTATGAATAAAGATTTATTACAAAGAGTAGGCTAGCTGGTTATGGCTAGGAAAAAATAAATGAGTTGTTGGCAGACCTCAACAAAGTGTATTTCTTCTTCAAAGAGTAGGCTGGCTCAACAGAGAGTGCTTCTTCTTCAAGAAGTTGGAGAGAGAGAGCTTCTTCTTTGTTGGGAAAATAGCAGCGGGATTTGAAGATGATGAAGAAACTTTGGCTCTGATACCAGTGATCGATTGCAGAGAAGAAGAGAGAGTGGCGGATTTCTTTGAGGGGGCTTCGGTAATAGGTAAAGAGTTTGAATTTGATTCTATGTTGTTGTGTTTTCTCAAGGAGAACGATCCTCCTTTTATAGGGGCCAAACCTATCATCTCCACCCCCTCATAACCGCTCTGAGAGATTTTCTCTCAACAAACTCATTTTCCACATTTCCTATATTTTTCACAACTTGAGAGTGTTTGCGTCAAAAGTTGACTTTGTCATGGAATTCATTATATCTTCGGTCGATTACAATAAATTCAAAAAAGAGATAACCTTTTTATAAGACTCCTTTTATACAACAAAAGAAAAAATTACAACTCTTGAGAAACAAACGCAGGATCGTTGTTTGGATCGCTGCTTGCGTGGGATCTTTGCCTGTGCCGGGAGCGCTTTGACTCGTGGACCACCAAATCACAGATTCTGATTGAATCGTGAGGGGTTTAATGATTCTTCCTTCGTTTATCGAAGTGAGAATTTAAAACGATATCTTATCAAAGTAAGATAGTCGTTCTTCTTGAAATCAAGTCAAAGCTCGAATCTCAAGGAATTGCCAGAAGCTGAGGAACTCTGTTCTGTCTGCTCTGAAGTGCTCCAAATGATCAGCCCCCTTAAAAAACGATCTCAAGGGGTATTTATAGCCCATAGGATGAACAGTGCTTCCGAGACAGTGTTTACTGTCTCGGAGGCCGAGACAGTAAAGACTGTCTCGGGTTCCGAGACAGTAAAGACTATCTCGGCCCGCGAGATAGTAAATACTGTCTCGGGAACAGTAACTGTCTGGCAGTTTTCATTGTAACTGCCTTCCCACGTTTTCAAACTCCGTTATTTTGGTAGTTATTCACGTGATTCTCGCCCACGACGTTCCCTATGTTCTTTGACAGTTAATGGCCACGTGTCGGCGGTTTATAAAACAGTTTCTGAGCCTTTGAAAACTGTCTCGCGTGCGAGACAGCAAAGTCTGTCTCGCGTGCGAGACGGTCTATGTCCTTTTTTCTGACTTTTTGGATGAATTCCTTCTTGAGCTGTATTTGGATATCTTTCGGTGTTTTTTGACGTCTACAGATACCCCCTCCAAAGTATTCCATACTCATTCTTTTATAAAGGAGTCTGGGATACTTTGGATAAGACAGATTCTACTTACAATCCCTTCAATGCTTGGTTGAGTAGATCGTGTATTGAGAGTTCGTCAGGTTATCCTTAAGAATATTCAGATTAATATTATCCAGAAACTTCCTGTTGAAGGTAGGGAAACAGTTTAGACTCGTGTACCTATTGGAGTAATATGATCTCTTTTTTGTTGGTAGAGATGAACCCAATGATGGAGAGGAAGAATTTTATATTCTATCTCCTGGTCTCTTGTTTGTTGGTAGAGATGAACCCCATGATGGAGAGGAAGAATTTTATATTCTATCTCCAGGTCTCTTGTTTGTTGGTAGAGATAAACCCGAAATCGGAGAGGAAGTATTTTATATTCTATCTCCTGGTCTCTTGTTTGTTGGTAGAGATAAACCCAAAATCGGAGAGGAAGAATTTTATATTCTATCTCCTGGTCTCTTGTTTGTTGGTAGAGATGAACCCGAAATCGAAGAGGAAGAATTTTATATTCTATCTTCTGGTCTCTTGTTTGTTGGTAGAGATGAACCCGAAATCGGAGAGGAAGAATTTTATATTCTATCTCCTAAGTGCAAAGGAAACTCAAAGTGGGATCTCCACTTAAAGAATCTGGACGGGTTTGAATAATCCTAACTGTCATAAGCTTTGATTATTCAACTAAAAGTGGACCTCTCGTTCATGGAATAAATCGAGAAGAGATTTTGGTTGTGGTCCTAACTGTAGTAAGGTTTGACCAAGTGGGAGTTTTGAGACGATCCTAACTGTTTAAAGGTTTGATCGTTCAATTTGTGGACCTCTCGTTCATAGAACGAATCGAGAGGGGATTTTGGCTTCGGTCCTAACTGTTTAAAGGTTTGACCAAAAGGGAATTTGAGACGATCCTAACTGTTTAAAGGTTTGATCGTTCAATTTGTGGACCTCTCGTTTATGGAACGAATCGAGAGAGGATTTTGGTTTTGGTCCTAACTGTTTAAAGGTTTGACCAAGATGGGAATTTAAGACGATCCTAACTATTTAAAGGTTTGATCGCTCAATTTGTGAACCTCTCGTTCATGGAACGAATCGAGAGGGGATTTTGGTTTTGGTCCTAACTGTTTAAAGGTTTGACCATGTGGGAATTTGAGACGATCCTAACTGTTTAAAGGTTTGATCGTTCAATTTGTGGACCTCTCGTTCATGGAACGAATCGAGAGGGGATTTTGGTTTTGGTCCTAACTGTTTAAAGGTTTGACCAAGATGGGAATTTGAGACGATCCTAACTGTTTAAAGGTTTGATCGTTCAATTTGTGGACCTCTCGTTCATGGAACGAATCGAGAGGGGATTTTGGCTTTGGTCCTAACTGTTTAAAGGTTTGACCAAGATGGGAATTTGAGACGATCCTAACTGTTTAAAGGTTTGATCGTTCAATTTGTGGACCTCTCGTTCATGGAACGAATCGAGAGGGGATTTTGGCTTTGGTCCTAACTGTTTAAAGGTTTGACCAAGATGGGAATTTGAGACGATCCTAACTGTTTAAAGGTTTGATCGTTCAATTTGTGGACCTCTCGTTCATGGAACGAATCGAGAGGGGATTTTGGCTTTGGTCCTAACTGTTTAAAGGTTTGACCAAGATGGGAATT